TCCACTCTAAAAAACTGATCATATTGATCTAAAAATACTTTTAGTCTCATCTTTGAACAAGCTCTATTGGAAACATTAGATTTGATAGCGTTACAGACCTATCAAAATTTTAGTCAGTCACCTGCATTTGAAATGGTATAGGTGCAATTCTCTGTGAAATATGAATGTTTCAGTTTCTTACATATTTTTTGCCACCTTTAGGCACAAAAGCCATCCTGATTGATATCCCTCGGTGGAAAGACATCACTCCATGAAGTTGATTTAACACAGCCAGTCAAAGGAAAATAGTTGCCCCAATCTTCTTTTTTTTTTGTTTAATTTTAAGACTTTTGCTTATATACAAAGACTTTGCATGCTGAATCTTGCCTATTTTTCCAACTATGACAATTACATTTTAAAAAAAAAAAATAATATGTCTGCACAAACCTCACCTCACTTCCAATCAGCATTTTTCTCACTGTAGTTGGGCTCTCTGATAGTAAGTCAGAAAGCAAAGCTGAGGATAAAACAACTTATTTTGTGGAGTTTAAAGATGTGGAGTTTAAAGACTGAGATTTTCTTTTCTCCCTTTTTCTTCTGGATCTACTTAGCTTTCTTCTAGCTGAGAGCTTCTTAATACTGCAGCTGTGATGAAAAGGATGACTGCAAGTTCTCAGGGGCTTATAGTTATTCAGGTAAGATGCAAGGAAGAAGCTTTGCAAACTCTACCAGAAATCTCTGACGACCTAGTTAGAGAGGGGGAAAAAAAAAAAAAGTCTTTCTATCATGTCTAGAATGTACAAAATATCAACAACATCGCATGGGAAGTAAATTTGCTATTGCTTTGATCAGTCTCCTGAGATGAGATTTGTGAACCAATGGTGAGTTACAGAGCAATGAACAGTGTTCCCTGAGCATAATGCATAGAGGGGAAAACAGAAGAGAAAAAATGAAGCAGCCCACAGACACTACATGATAATAACAACCACAACAACAACAAAAAAATCCCACTCATTCCCCCCTGCCCGCCTCCCCCGCCCCCCCAAAAAAATATAATTCAAACACAAATATCCTCATCTCAGTGCACAGAGTTTAGGGCTGAAATTTCTACTGCAAATAGAGGCATGAGTTGTGTGCCTCATTCCATCATTCAGATTGTTAATAAAGAAATGAAACTGTAGTGGCCGCAGTAGTGACCCCTGAGGAACACCACTAGTAACAAGCTGCTAGCAGGACTTCTTACCACATAGCCATTCGAGTCTGGTCATCCTGACCACTGTCATTATTATCTAGTTGCCCAGTGCATATCTTCCAAATTTAGATCTAAGGAGTCTGTAGGAGACTGTACTGAAGGCCTTGCTCAAATCAAGGTACACAACATCCACTGCCCTCCCATGTCTATCCAGACAGTTATCATAGAAAACAGTCAGATTGATCAGGCCTGATTTGCCCTTGTTGTATTCATGCTGGATGTTCCCAACCACCTTCTTGTCCTTCATGTACCTCAGAATGGCTACCAGGAGAATATTTTATTCCATCACCTTCCCAGGTACTGAGGTGAGACTGTAGATCCTCAGCTCTTCCTTCTTGCCCTCCCTGAAGAGGGGTGTGACTTTTTTCTCTTTCCAGGCTTCAGGATCTCCTGTGGTCACCATGACGTCTCAAAGACAAGAGTGAACTTGCAGGGGCCTCCACCAGTTCCTTCAACACCCTTGGGTGCTTCCCATCCAGTTTCATGAGTTTTTATATGTACATTGACCTAAGTGCTCTGACCGTGTCTTCTTATCCTGCTCATGCTGCTTCACTCCCCACATACTCTGCTAATAGGCTTAAGGAACTGGGAATCCTGAAGGCAGACCTTATCAGTGAAATGTGAGGCAAAAAAAGCATTACATACCCCAGACTTTTCAGTGTCCTAGGTCACAAGATCTGCTGCCCATTGACCAGCGGACTTACGTTTTCCTTAGCCTTCCTTTTGCTGTCAGTGTACCTCTAGAAACTCTTCTTGCCCTTCCAATACTTTGCTTATTCCAGCTCCAACTGAGCGTTGGCTTTCCTCACTCCATCCCTGCACGCTGCACATTCCTTCTAGCTCGCCTGTCCCTGTTTCTGCCCCCTGTGCACTTCCTTTCTTGTCTGAGCTAGGAGAGTCTGGAGTCACAGCCAGGGCTCTTGGTATCTTTTCTGAAGCAAAACAGCTGCCCTCACAAAATGTGGGAGCAATCCAGCGATTTGACTGCCCTACATACCACTCTAATAGTGAGACGGTTTTGGTTGTTCTCCTTCCACGACCCTGCACACTGCAGTAGCTGACACCTCAGGCTGCAGGGCATCCCCACCCCCAGCCTGTCTCCAGTAATCGGTAGCAATTTTCACTCACATACACGCAGATCCCACCCGTAGCTGAGAAAATATGTAATAAGAAGCCATAAGAGGGTGGGACAGGCAGCGGAGATGAGGCGCAGGGCTCAGCTAGACAAGTGCACCCACTGGCCCTGTTCTACATGTGACCAGCACATTGTATAGGATTTTCTGTCTACCTTTCCTTTGTTCCTCCCCGTTTCCCCTTCACTGAGTCACTGATTGACCAGGCTTGGTTCTCCTTACCATCTCCCTTATCATTTGTTGGTCAGATTTGTGTCCCTGTAAGTTCTTGTTCATTCCTTCCTCCCTTTCTTATCATCCCTTGTCTCATCGAAAAAGACCAGATGCCCCCAAGGAGCAGGCACTGTCCTTCCACATATCCTTACAAAGGTGTTTAATTGTTTCACCATATAAGTTATGTCTACACTGACTTTGCCAGTTGTCTAATGGCCCATGACTATCCACTGTGTTCCGGGGAGAAATTCACACTATCCACATGAGAACCAAAGTGTTAGGGAGCGTGGGATGAGATGAATTCAGGCTCCATGCCAGCATAACACCACAGACAGGAGCTTTGGGAGAATATGCTTCAATGGAAGACATGTTTATACAAGCACAAGGCTTTAATTTAACATGTATGATTCTATGAATATCCCCTTGGGCAGTTTGTGTCCGCTGTCCTGGGTGTGTCCCCTCCCAGCCTATTCCCTACCCCCAGCCTACTGGTCTTTGTTGGGGGTGGGACCGGAGAGGAAGACTTGACACTTTACAGGCACTGTTCAGCAACAGCCAAAATATTGGTGTTTTATCAACACCGTTTATGCTACAAAGGCAAAGCGCACACCATACGGGCTGCTATGAAGAAAGTTGACTCCATCCCAGTCAGACACAGTACAATCTCCACCCCTTATTCCGTACCATCTGTGTTGTCCTTAGGTCCAACATTATCTGATCCATCAAAATATCCGCTGACCATCCCATTTACACATTGTTTCATTTCTATAGCCTACTCAAGCCTTACTACTTGCCTAATCCACACTGCACTAAAATATTTCATCATTCTACCCCATGCTTTTCTTTTTATTTCCCCTTGTATGTGTTTCTTATTGCCAAAATCCCCTGTTAACAAAAAATTAGAGCGCCCAAAATACCATTCACGTTCCTTGCAGCAAGGGCAAAGAAGGGCATATCTGTCTGCTTTCCATCTACCAAGCCAGTCTTTTCATCACAAAATGTGATTAGGTCGTGAAGCATGATTTCCCCTTGGTGAAGCTATGCTGACTACTCCTGAAGATCACATTCAGGTTCTTCATGTGCCTGGAAATGGTTCACGTGATTAGCTGCTCCATCACCTGACCAGCCTGTAGCTCTCTGGGTCCTCCTTGTTGCCCTCTTCAAAGACAAGAGTGACATCTGCTTTCATCCCGTTCTCAGGCATCTCTCCCAATCAAAGATTGTTGAGAGTGGTTTCACAGTGACACCAGCCAACTCCCTCAGTACCCACAGGAGCATCCCATCAGAGTTCATGGACTTACGTATGTCTCGTATTCCCTGACCTGATCTTCTTTCACCGAGGATACGTCATCCTTGCGTCTCGTATTCCCTGACCTGATCTTCACCGAGGATACGTCATCCTTGTGCCAGACTCTCCCCCTGAACTCTAGGGCCTGGGATACCTGAAGGCTGCATTCAGTACATCAGCCTTTTCTACGTTCTGTATCACCAGGTCCCCCAACTCATTCAGCAATGGGCCCACATCTTCCCTGGTCTGCCTTTTGTCACCTACGTACTTACAGAAGCCCTTCAGTCCGTCTTTGACATCCCTGGCCAGATACAATTCCAGTTTATCTTTGGCTTTCATAAGTGCATCTCTGCATGCTCAGACAGAGCAAGAATATTTGAAAACTAATAATTCTTAATTATGTCATGCGGTTCCGTCATGCAAACTGCCAGCCAGATGCTTTACGGAATATACCTGTGCGACCAACCAAAAAACCCCCACCCACGCATGAACATGCACACACACGCACCACAGACTGAAGGAATGCTCTGAAGAGGCAAGCGGAGGATAGGAGCCCTTGAGGCTCAGGGGAGGATGGCAGAGCAACTGTTCTGAGCTATTGCAAAAGAAACCAAAATCATCTCAATATGAAAGGAAACTGAAGGGTATTTTTTTTTTTTTGGTGACAAACTGACAAAACCTGTAACAGTTGTACTTCAAGAAATGTAGACATAGAGCAGGGCAAAATTCATATTAGGGTTATGCTTGCTGTTAAAGTAACACAGATTTTGTATTTATTAGAGTGGAAGCAAGCCTTGCCAGGCCCAGAAAATTGTTCGATGACGAAGCAGCACCACAAGCAAAAACTGGGTTGCATGGCTGCAAACCCTGACCTGTCAGGGACACGTCTGCCCAACCTCAGTCACCAAAGTGGACTGTTCCCCAAAAGAAATGCAACATGGGGAGAGGCCAGACTAGATCAGGTTTATCCTGGAAGGCTGCAGTCCCCTGGGAGGATCCACACTGGAGCAGCTGAAAAGTGTGAGGAGGAATGGGCAGCAGAGGCAAACAGTTATGAACTGACTGCAACCACCCACCGCTCCGAGGGACAGGAGGTAGAGACTTGGGAATGAAAAATAGGGATCGCTGCTTCAAGATGGCTGTTGGGTCTTGGCTGTCTGGTGTCCCCATGGCTCTAGGCTTTACCACGTGGCTGTTTACCCTGCCCTTCTGTGGCAGAAACATGGTCAATCATTTCTTTTGTGACGTTTCTGCGGTGTTGCAGCTGGTGTGTGCAGACACAGCCTTGTTTGAACTACTGACTTGTACTGCTATTGTCATAATAGTGATGATTCCCCTTTTTCTGATAGCCACCTCTTACCTTCACATTATCCATGCTGCTCTTCAGATACCCTCAGCTGTGGGCCAGAGGAGGGCCTTTTCCACCTGTGCAGCTCACCCAGTGGTAGTGACCCTTTCTACAGTACAACTGGCATCACTCACCTGCAACCCAAGTCCAGCCTCTTGTCCAACATGGGGAAAATGACTTCCCTGTCTTACATCGTTGTCACAGCCATGCTCAACCCCATTTTCTACAGCTTGAGGAATCAGGAAGTCAAGCAAAGCCTGAGGAGATGCATTGACACGTGGTTACTTAGGAAGCAGATGGCCATATTTTCTCCATCCAGGTGATGGAGTCCTTGTAGCTGCAGAAGTGTTTCCCTAGCAAAAGAAAAAAAAAATATTAAATGGAATTTATGAATGAAGTGGAATGCCCTTCAAAAAGATCTGTGCTATTTTAGCAATTTTTTCCTGTTAAATCCATACAATGACTGGCCTTTTTTACTTGATGTATACGTTATGAATGAAGGGGAGGAACTGTCTCTTCTAAAAGTGTCCTTCCCACTGATGGGGGAGAAAGGATTCAAGTCTTGGCTTGATCTGATTTTTGTTTTCCTCTCAGAACAAAGATCTCTTCCCCAAAGTAAGAAATGACTTGCTCAGTTTAAAACAGTTTCATGGTTTAATTCCAGTCAATAACCACGCACCACACTGCCACTCTCACCCCTTTCCCCTCTCATCCCCCACAGTGGGATGGGGGAGAGAATTGAAAGGGAAAAAGCGAGAAAGCCCACGGGTTGAGACAAGAACAGTGTAACGATTCGTTAAAAAAGTTATGAAGAGGAAAACAATAAACAGAGAAAGAAACAAAACCCAGGATAAACAAGTGATGTGAGAGAACAGGCTGTGCCCTGCAGCCATGGGGGGTCATGGGGAGCAGACACCCCCCTGCAGCCCAGAGAGGGCCCACGCTGGAGCAGGCGGTTGTGCCCAAAGAATCCCTGTGGCAAGCCCACACTGGAGCAGTCAGCTCCTGGGGGACTGTACCCCATGGAAGGGACCCACGCCAGAGCAGTTGGTGAAGAAAACTGCCCCCGTTGGAAGATGTCATGCCAGGGAGGTCCATGGAGGACCATGTCCGGTGGGAGGGATCCCACATGGCACCAGCAGAAGAATGTGGAGAGTTCTCCCGCTGAGGAGGAAGGAGCAGGAGAGACAATGTGTGGTGAACTGACTGGGGAAACCCCCATTCCTTGTCCCTCTGTGCCACTGGAGGGGAGGAGGTAGCCTGGTAAGAAGGGAGGGATGGGGGGAATGTTTTTAAGATCCATTTTGGTTTGTCTTGCATCATCCTATTCTGATTTGATTGGTAACTGATTAAAATTGATTTTTCTTCCCCACGTCGAGTCTGTTTTGCCCATAACCATAACGGGGGTGTGATCCCTCCCTGTCCTTGCCTCAGGCCACAAACTTTACCCTATATTTTCTCCTCCACATCCCACTGGGAGGGAGAGTGAGCGAGCTGCCGCCTGCTCTTTCATTGCTGGCTGGGCTTAAACCATGACATCCTCCACCATCCTGCCTATCTGCTTAGATCACCATTTCTGTAACCATTTCTGCGATCAGCTGCATTGTGCATTTTTACTGGTTTTGTGTTCTGACAGCCGCGATGTACTTCATCGATGCCTAATAGCCATCACTCAGCCCTAAGTAAAACTCCCCACTATACAACACTTACCAAAGGTAAGATCGTGCTCCCCTTGTAAGGAGCACTGGGATGTCTGGGTTACTTTTAAGTATAATGGTACCAATGACATCCACTGTCCTGATGGACGTAACCATTTCCTTTGAGATTTCATCCCTGTGATTGATCATTTTTGCACTGACACTAGCCTGATGAAACGACTTGCCTAGGTCACCACATCAAATATCAGATGTTTCCAGCAGAGCTGTTCAATTCTTTATTCATTTCGTCTATAGTCATGGGGAATGAACACCTCCAAAGGTGAAGCAATCGCTTTCCAGAGGTGCTGTCTATAAAAGGAATCTAGAGATCAGGCCTGGACTTCGGGCGAAGGCAAAATTTGTCTCCTTTCCCCAAATAGTCTTCCAGAAGTATTTAATCTTTTTTGCTTTCCAACACCTGCACTCAGCCCCCTCCTATAACCCTGTGAATGAAACACATACCCCCAGCATCACAGTATATACAAAATCATTACTCTGAAAAGCTGCGTTCCACCGCTCATTCTATTTCGGGCACTTTTAATGGAACAGCAACACCCAGGAAAACAAAGAAGCATTACGTCTGAGACAGGCAGGAACATCACGCAGAGCCAAGAGGACACTTGGTGCGAGAGCTATGCAGTGTCAGCACAAGCACACATCAGCCTGCTAGCCACCACCACCACTAAATGTGAGTGACTATACTCCTGAAAGCGAGGGACCACTCCCTGAGGCAGAGGCATTTATCTTTGTAGGAACTATGAACTTCTGTATCAAATTTAATCGAGGCACCCACTATAAATCCCTATATAGAGGAAGGCAGGCAAATCTAGGTCACGTCTGATTTCATCCTGACGCAGCAGACAAAGAGCGATCAGCTGAGTTGTCTTCCAAAAGTTCCTGTCTCTGTTGATCACAATTGAAGTTCTGGTGACTGATTTCACCGTAAAAATATCATTTTACTTCTCCCTGTGTATGTTACATGAAGGTCTGAGAAATGTTTTTAAATTGTCTTTGAGGAAGATCCATCCGTTGTGCATGACGCCTGCCGGAGGATGAGAGGAGGTAAGCTGCAGGTATGCTTATCCTCCATCAACTACAGACGGATCCTGAGTGCTGAGCCAGGACCAAGCTTCTAGCTTGTAAGCAGCTAAGAGTTAGGTCGGAGAAGTCGTCTTCTAGAGGGATAATTCTGTAACTTCACATATTATACCTGTGATCTGATCTTGCAGTGAGTTTCCTACAGACCAGCTTAGTACAGATTATTCCTTAGGAAAGCATGGAGGCCTTCCTTCTGAGGCACAGACACTTTCTGAAGTAACATGCTAAGAATTTCAGAAAAAAGTAAAACTACCGGTTGCTTGTTCTTGTTGATACAGTCTTGTCCTCAAAACAAAAGGAACTAAACTCATCCCACTGAATTCTCCTCCCGTTTCAGCCAAGTCCTTTACAGCTTATATTCACCCTCAGGTCAGAGGAAGAACGCAGGAAGGAAAACATAATTCAGCTCTCCTGGAAATAACGTGAAAATCTCCTTTTCCCCACTAGCTATAGTGCAAGCTCAAAAAAGTTGCCTCCTATGGGCTAGAGAAAGGAGCACGACAGTGACCATAAATGGTTATCTAGTCTATCCACCTTCTCCTTGTGTTTCTTGACAAGTCAGATCATTCCCTAATTTAATTTTGAGCTATGGTTAGTTGCTGTCACTTATCCTGAAGCAAAATGTTTTAGCTTCTTCATATCTGCTTAATGTCTTAAAATCAATGTTTTATTTTAGAAGTATATACTGATCTATTTCTAAAGGAAAAGTTGTTTGGAAACTAAAAAATATACCACCTAGTAAACATCGCTATTTTTCCTGAATATTATTCCATTAATTTAATTTCCTAAAATGTTTTTCTAAAATTGCCTGAAATATGGACATATTCCTCACTATCCACATCTCCATTTATATAAATGTTTATTTGCCTGCCTGTTAATCTATCAAATATTTTTTTCCACCAGCTACCTGATATTTGTGTGTTTAATCTTCGCACAAGTACCATCACTAATCCCCGCCTTTGATCATCTCTCCTGTATGTCTTCTGATCATATGCCTGTCTAGCAACGCAGCCAGGGTTGGTTGTGCTGATGTATCTTATATTCAAGTAAAAGAATTTTAAACCCCACCTTCAAAATGTTATAAAGTGTTATTTATTTTTTGAATAGTTATATGCAATGATTTTTGGTACATAAGTGGTTTTTTCATCCTAACAGTGTGTGCAGTTAATTTTACAAGAACAGCACCAGAGGGAATTGGAGCTGTCACTGGACTTGCAGTGCAGTGTTGTTTCTGAAGACGGCGAGAGCGCCAATTTTATCATGGACAGGTTTGCCCTTCATGACCCCCGAGATAAACAGATGAAGGCACACAGTCCGCAAGATGCTTGACCACAAAGAGAATGTTTGGTTTTCTTTGACAGCATCAGCCCCTATTAGAAAATGATGTTTATTGAGTTCATCTGTAGCGTATTAATTTAAATCATTAGGCTTGAATAAGAAACAAGAAATTTCCTGTTGCATCATACTCTCATTAAAAACTTTAAGTCTAGCAAAACTTCTCAAAGACTATTTCGCCTATTAGCCAGCTAATGACTGTACAGAGAATTAGCAGCAAGGAAAGCTTGTTACAGTTTGCTCAGGCTATCAAGCCCTTGGGTAAAAATTACGCAGTGCGAAGGGTGGTCACAAGAGTGAAGTTCCCTGGAGTTTTAATGGGGCCTGCTGAGGCTGTTAGAGATGCAGCTGCTGTGGGAAGTCTCAGTGGCCCTGCCAGGAGGCTGATCAGAGCAGAAAACCAAAGCTTGGTTACAGGAAAACAAAGGAAGGAAGAAGTGCTTTCACCCTTTGATGTGTCCTGGCAAAGAAAGGGGCCAGTTGCTGACCCACAGCAGGACCTTTTCAGGCCTCACCTGCTGCAGGCTTCTTCCTGGTCAATGTGGGGCACCCAGAGGAGACACCCAGGCTCCTGGGAGGCTGCAGCAGCCACACAGCAAAGACACCTGGGCAAAGGTGCACCAGTCTGGCCATCACTGCTATCCCAGCCCCGGAGCTGCCCTCCTCCCCTGTGCTCCCCAGGCTCAAGCACCGCTGCTCAGTCCTGAAACACAGCCCCCACTTTTCCCAAAACCCCTCTGGCTAAGCCTGTGGGACCCCGGTAGTCCAGCCACATAGAGATGGTACCCAGCTTCTCCTCCACACAGAGCCCCTCCTGCCCCAGAGCAGATCCCCACCCCACCAGCCCCACTGCTTCAGTGGGGCCTCACAGACCGCAGCCCCTGAGCTGCCACTCTCTGCAGTTTGTTCCCCAAGCTTTCCAGATAGTGCTCTTCAGCCACGAAGAGCATCTTCTCCCTGGTCATGACAGCCCGGAGGTCCCAGCTGTCCCATTCCTGCCATCCAGCTCTGTTCAGTGGATGCCCAAGTTCCCACGGTCAGTGTCATATCCTACCCCAAAGCCTTGAGCAATTCCCTGAAATATTGCCACTCCCATCTCCTCCACCTCTGCAATACTCATCCAGCTCACCCACTGCCTTTCACTGAGCTGCCATCAGTCTTCTACAAGTCCCAGTGGGATGTTCAATGGTAATGATTCTGTCAAAGGGTCATTTTAAAGGTTTTATGTGTCAGGGATCAAAGTATGAATTCCTCTCTGCTGAAGACAGTTGGTTTAACAATAAAATGCACACGTACTCATGATGTGGGTGCTCATAAACTACAGTTGCTCTGTCGTTTTCTAAAAGCAGAGCGAAATGTCTGGCTGCAGTATCTTTGGGCCTAGTTCCACCAACCTTTGGGATGCGCTTTTTGCAGATGCTAGAGATGCCTTAACTGAGATAAGTCAGAATGTAAAGACAATTCAGTGAAGACATTTCAACCCAGTTTGAAATCTCTGGTGCTCCTGGCTATGTGTCAAGCGCCAGCCTGTACAGCAGTTCTTGGTTTATACCTATAATTACGGGATTAAGTCCTTATACAGAGCAGCGCATCATTGTTTTCAATTGTTGAAAATGTAGCTAAGGACACACAGACAAAAGTAAATAAAACCAGAGTTCAAAAAGTATAATCAGTGCTAATCCTGGAATCGTATCCTGACAATACAAGAAATAAAGCTGTGGTCATCCGCAGGGATTTTTTAATCCATGATGCGCCAGAAAATGGCAGGCATCTGACACCTGAATATCCTCCAGCAACACCCCTCCCTTGACTTCCTGACAGCCAGCTTGCCCTGAGGACTCTACACCTGCCTTGTTGACAAACTTGTAAGGCCCATCAGAAAGGACACTTTTTTCTTGAACCTTCTGACGCATACGCTCTTTGCAACTCCCTTGGGACCGGCAGGGCAAACTGGTCTCTAATACCCTCATACTGGTTGTCGTGTGTGCATCATCAGAACAGACCAGAGAAGACTGTTTCTCACCAGTGGTCATAAAGGAAGCCCAGGGAACCAGCACAGAGCAGATGATGAAGGTTTAGATATAAAGCTGGGTCTTGTGAACCCTGGTTTCAGCCTGTTGACATAGAAAAACAACACAGTGGATGGTATATTTCGCACTGCTTTAGGTATACAGTGGGAACTATTAGGAAGGAAGGATAAGACTGTTACAGTGTAAAATGTGAAATGAAGAAGGGCAGTGAGGTCTGGGAAAGGCGTGGTTGTAGTGCACAGTTGGCAGCATAGGGTAGCAGCAGCTAAGGGGGGCAGAATGGGCACCTTTTCTGCCGAGTGGTTATTAGAAACAACAGCGTGCTGGGCTTGGAGGAAGGATTATTAGGTGACACAGTAAGCGGTGAGTAATATTACCGCAGTGGGCTAAGGGACCAAACTCCCACCCAGCCACTTGCTCACTTCCCCTCCCTCAATGAGATGGGAGGGGGAGAAAATAACATGAGAAAGCCCATGGGTTGAGATAAATAGAGAGAGATGGCTTATCAATTAACACTGTGTAAAACAGACTCAAGTCAGGGAAAATTAACTTATTGCTAGTTAAAATAGATTCAGGTAGTGAGAAACACAGATAAGCATTAAACACACTATTTTCTCCCCACTTTCCCAGGCTCAACTTCAGTCTTTCAGTCCAGACTCTTCTACTTCCCACTGCAAGAAGTACTGGGGGTCCTGGAGGCTAGGTCAGTACATCGCCCTTCCCTCTCACTTTTCTCTGGGTCCTCCACAGGCTGCAGTTCCTTCAGAAATATCCATCTGCTCTCATGTGAGTCCTCCATAGGCTGCAGGGAATATTTGGTCAGGCACCATGAAGCACCTCCTCCTCCTCTGGCCTTGGTGTTCCTTCTGCTCTCTTTCACCCTTTTTGTTCATGTCTCTTCCCTCTGCCTGGCATTTTCTACCCTTTCTAGAATATCCTTTCATAGAGGTGCCACCGTCTTGGCTTATGGGCTCAGCTGTATCCTACAGTGTATCCATTGTGGAACACAGGACAGACCCCAGACCCTCCTCACAAAGGTTCCCCTGCAGCCTCTGCTACCAAAACCCAGACATGTAACCCCAACACAGTTCAAAAGAATGGTGATTTAAAAGGAATATAGAAGAAAATTTGGTTTAGATACATATTTTTCATACTAATTTTACCACACATAAGAAAGCTGACCTGTGGTCTCCTAAGTTTGACTCATACCTAGGATATTTCTACAGCCATTGGAAAGAAATAAGCACCTCCAGAGAGTGACTTGCCCATCCTGAGTAACATATCTAGGAACAAGATAAATCACACATAGAAAAGGTATTTGTGGCTTTCCACTTACTTCTAAGGAACCCCACATTCCCAGCATCAGCACTGCTTTTGGTACTCAGGTGCCTAAGCTTAGCAGAAAAGCTGGCCACCACTGGCACCTGTAGTGATCAGCTTCCTCCTGATCCCTAAATAATTGGTGAAAGGACAGTGGCACTACCAATGGGGTTAGAATGAGGAGTTGCCTACCTCCGTCCACAAGCAAGCCAAAACTCCTGCCACAGATTGTATTACAAACTTTTAGCTGTCAAATTTAGGTGAGGTTCGACCCATGTTGTACTCTCATAGTGAGCAAAGATTCATGTCACGTCACTTTAGACATGTGAGCGATGCCTGAAAGTCTAATTCATACCATCAATCTTCAGGTGAGAATAATGCTCCCTGCTTGGCAAAGCCCTTTTCTTTCCATAAGCTCCATAGGTAGCCCTAGCCACTGCCATGAAAACAGACATCAACATTTAATTTTCAGATTCCTCTCTGTAGAGTCACTATAGCGGTACAGATTTCTTTATCATCTTTGTCCCAAAGGAAGCGTTGCCAACATCCACACTGCTAAAGGTGGCTTCTAAGGAAGCTGTACCCGAGTTCTGGGCTTCCTGTGCAGCCTAGCTCTCACCTGCCCTGCCACAAGCTCCTTCTGGGATGGGCAGGCAGATCACAAGCATCCCATGACAGAGGAGAAGCAGTGGGACATCCGTGATGTCTTAACAAGGTGTACAGAAATGACCTGTAGCCTAGGAGACACTTCCATGCTTCCAGAGCAGTAGTAGGCACAGTCCAGAGGAGCATGCCCACAGCACTTAAAGGACACAATATCTCTTGGGCAGCTGAATCCCGCCACAACACATGGGGCATGGCCAGGGTCCTCTCGTAGTAGGCACAGTCCAGAGGAGCATACCCACAGCACGTAAAGGACACAGTAGCTCTTGGGCAGCTGAATCCTGCCACAACACATGGCGCAGGGCCAGGGTCCTCTTCTGTGTCCCATGTAGCCATACCCATGTCAACACATCGGGCCATTCTGTGCCCCGTGTGTCTGTAGCCATAAGACACACTTTTTTCTTCTTGTGGCTTTTAATTTCTAAGTGACTGTAATAATATGAAAACACGACAAAGTTGGTTTGATTTTAATCAAGATTATTTTGGGGTGTGCTTACCTTTTGGTTCTACAGGGGTTTGGGGTTTTTTTGAGGAAGTCCAAAAAAACTTATCATTTTCCCCAAACAATCACCCAGCTCCACTGGTGACTAGGCAAGTTGCTACATCAGTGAACATACACTTGCTGTGGAAATCACCTCTGATGCTTTATATTTCTATAGTCTGGTCCAAAAAACCAACAGCCCCACAAAGCCTGGTTCTTGATATGTCATTTATATAAATGCCTGGACTACTTTCCTTAGGGCTCTTCTGACCTCTTTGTTTCTTAACGTGTAGATAACCGGATTCACCATGGGTGTCACTACAGTGTAGAAGACAGAGAACAACTTGTTAACAGCTGTGAGGTTGTAAGTTTTTGGTAACATATAGACAAGGATGTGTTGTATAGAAAATAGTGACCACAAAGAGATGAGCGTAGCATGTGGAAAAGGTCTTTTTCCTCCCCGTAGCTAAAGGGATTCTCAGGATGTTGATGATGATTAAAATATAGGATGCTACAGTGAAAAGAAAGGGCAGCATAGTACATGTGGCAGACATCAAAGACGTTACAGCTTCTATCAGAAATGTGTCACTGCAGGAGCAGTTTATCACAGGGGTGAAATCACAGAAGAAATGGTCAATCTCACTGCGACCGCAGTACACCATTTGTGACATCCACATTGTAATGACAAAGCTGATTATAAAACCACTTACCCAGGCCCCTGTAGCTAGTGCTACACAAAGTTTACGATTCATTACGGTGACGGAGCGTAAAGGTTTGCATACTGCTGAGTATCGATCGTAAGACATCACTGCCAGGAGATAGCACTCCACCCCAACTAGAAAAGCAAACATGAAGAACTGTGTCATGCAGCTGCTGTAGGAAATACTTCTGTCACCTGGCAGGAAGCTGGCCAGCAGCTTGGGCAGGGTGGTGGAGCTGCAGCACATCTCCCAGCAGGACAATTTACTGAGGAAGACGTACATTGCGGTGTGGAGATGCTGGTTAGCCACCACCAACAGGAGGATGAGAATGTTCCCTATCATTGTCACCATGTAGATCACCAGGAAGAGAGGAACCTGCAGGTCAGGTAAATCGCCAAATCCCAGAAGGATGAATTCTGGAATGTAGGTTTGGGTTTGCTTTTCTGTATCTGACATCACACTGTATCTTGGGGAAAGCAAATACTAAAATGCAATATAAAAATTTAAAACAAGTTTTCTGTGCGTGGCTGCAAAGATACACTGTTCAAATTAATTCTTGGATCCAATCTCTATGTCATGATAACTTATTTAAAATTCCAACTCTTACAGCATTTCAGCAATATTTTCTATGAGAAAAACCGAATTGTCTCCATTTCAATCACTGTTGGTATGTCTCAGGGACAAGACAGTTTTCTTCTTTCCTAAGTATGGATGATTAGATGCCATTTTTAGGCTCTATGTCCAGGCTGGTTTCCCTGCCTTGTAGAGGCATACCCTAATTCTTCATTTTTGTGCTTTGGATGTAGGGTTTTTATATATGCTCCTTTGCAGATCACCTGCCTACACCAACATGGGAAAAGGTGTCCAAAACTACCTACACCTAAACTATGGCATTAGCTTGCAGTCGCATCAGATCAGTTTCTGCAACCAGACAACCTTCACACAAGTTTTCTTATATTCTGCTTCTTGGGTGACCCAGTTGATTTACAAGATAGGGAAATTTCAGGCTTGGAAGGGACTGCCTATGCAGTTTCTTCAATGTCTTATCACCTAAAAAAATACTGGGACATTCGGATAAAGCTGTGACTGGCATAATAAAATCATGTCAGTAACTGATGAGCCTTACAGTTTAGTACATCGGCAATTATTACCACTGGCAGAAAAACAAAGTCAAAGATGAATCTTTTTATCAGTTCTTCATCCGCTCTCTTCCCAAGTCCACACACTCTCCTTTGTCAGGCTTACCTCCGTGGTAGCCAGTTACAGACTGGGGTCTTTCAGACACCTGCCCACATCACGCTGTGGCATGCAGCACGGATTCTGCGGGCTGTCTTCTCTTTTCATCATCTTCATATGAAAGACAAGAGCTTGATCATCCCAAGTGCTTGCTTTGCCTTTAATAAATCTCCATTCATACTGGAGCCAAGACGAACTCAGAAGTCCCTTGTGACTCATTATATGCCCTTGAGTACGGATAGAAAATCTCCTTCGATAGTCTTGCTAAGGGAAATTTTAAATAATTTATTGATTGGGTAGAGCCTTTCCAATAACATTCTTAATTAAACTTTATAATATGTTAATACTGCACTGAAAATTATTAAAAACTAATAAATTTTGCTTTTCCTATGCCCCACACATATTATTTCCAATTATACTCTATTTTCCAGAGGCATCTAGATATGTCATGAACATACTGTGAGCTGGGTAACTGTTACAGCAAATAAGAGGGGACTGTGTCACATCCCACTGGAATGGTGTCCTTACAACATGCCTTTGACGCAGGCACTCGTGATGCAGGCATGAGGGCGTGCAGTAGCATTTCGGAGCACCACCTCTGCTGGGCCAAAGCACAACTGGTGCTTTCCACAGTTAAGAGCCCTGATCTGAAGCAGGTAATGAGAACTGTTGTGTCAACATAACCTGAGTTCCCTCACAGGAAGGCCTGAAGCAAAGCTCCAAAAAGAAGAGGAACATGGAAATAGGTGTTCTGTGAGGTTATAACACGGACCAGCACTCCAGAGTGAAAGACATATTTTCTTTCCACTTTCTATATAGAGTTTGTAAATAACAACCTGAGGCTAGGTACAAATTAATAATGTGTGAATTTATTATATGAAGGCATTCTGACACCAAGAACAGATTTTTCTTCTTATGTACCTTGCCCTCCAAACTAAATCCTCTAGGTGACACCCACACACAGCGACCACGACAAGCTGAGACCATTTGGTTGAACCATCATGGAACTGTCAGAGCCACTACTTGGTGGGAAACTAAGGATATCCCATGTGAAAGTCAACAAGCAGAGATTGTGGTTTTGAGACAGATTTATTTCATCTCATGTTAGCAGTCAAAATGGATGACATTCAGTCTCTGCAGTTCAACTAAAATCAGCTCTGCACCTGCACAGGCCAAAGTCACTGTAATAGGAATTAATATTTCAAATTGTTTTGACTACACTCCCATCTAGTGGTGTTTGCATAATGAAAATTCCCCTGTTGCTTTTTGGCGATTTCTCTTTTTTCATGCGGTCTTTGAATTCACCCATGTTCTTAAGGGTTTTTTCTTTTTGAGGCTCACCAAGCTCATGCAAAGTTGTGCTTTGCCAAGAGATATTTATTCATCAAGCTGCTTCTGCCTTGCCTTGGAGACGAAGCAGTCTGAACATTGACTAACAAATTACAGTCTACCCAGCCTTCTTAAATGCAAGCTAGGAGGTTGAGATTAAAAGCCAGGATCTGGAACAATCATCTCACTTATTTGTGATACCACAGCTAGGAACAATCCTGCAGAAAAAGATGATTGAGCAGTTTCTCCAAAGGATGACTGGAAAAGCTGGCACTTGGGTAGCTGTCTTCAGGACAGCTTCAAGACTTCAAGACATCTGTAGAACAGTGTTGACTTGATAGCAACGATGATCATCATAGTAATCTTTCACACAGTTGTCACCCTATCTATCAATATAATTCCATCCAGACCCAAAAATAATAAAAATGTAGGCTAAAAAAAATGCTAATTCCAATAGAGTGTATAGGAAAAGAATGGTTATTTATGTGCATATGACATTGATGACAACAACCTCTCCAAGGCTTTTGTTTGCTTGATTATACCCTGGGGTGATTCACTAGTCTCAGCTCTGGAAAAGTTTTTAAGGAGTGAGGTTAAGGGAGGAATGCTCTCTACCTGACAGAATGGAAGAGAAGAGATGGCATACTCAGCTCACTGAGGAAAAAAAAGAAAAAAAGAAAAGAAAATATAGAAATTAAGGGGTGGGTGGGGGCAGAGGAGTATTTGCAAATCAAAGAGATTTAATTTTGGTGGTTTGTTAGGGGGTTGTTTTTTTCCCCATGAGAAAATCAACCTCTTAAAGAAAATGGATACAAAAGCTTGAGAAGTGAAAGATTTTTTAATTGTGTTTCAATATTCCTGTGGTTTCAGGTAAGAAAGAGCGTTGGTCTGAAAGGTTTGTTGATTGATGCAGAAAGAGGACACACTTCCAATATTTTCAGTTGTCAGATGTTGGCAAATCAGCCTAAAATTGGGCGTTTGAATGAATAAGGTTTTAAAGGGAAATTTTAAATTAGTTCTGTGAAAAGAAATGTGTAAGTCTTATCAAGTGATGCTATCAGAAGTGGTCTGGGTGTACGTTATTGGGTGGGTGTTCCTACAGGTCTTCACTGTTGTAGTGTCTGGTCACCACCCTATAGTCCCTAAATGTGGTGAGCAGCATCAGAAAGGAGGTGCAATCTGCACAACGGAAGTTGAGTTCTGAGTTATTGTCTAAACTCGTCCTGTTGTCAATGGAAAGAAATAGGTAATTTCCTTAGATTATTTAGCTCATACAAAGTAGATATATAAAACATATTGGATGGATTACAGTGCAAAGCTCTTTCTTCTCTCTGTAGACCATAAGAGGAGAGTGAGGTAGAGTGCCTTAGATGCAGATGTTTTCAGTTAGGTGGCATTATTCCCACTGAAGATGGTTCAAATGGGTGCTGCATCTGGGAAGAGAGACTGAAGATGGTTCAAATGGGTGCTGGAGTATGTTGGAAAAAAAAAAAACCAACCCAAAGTTGTATTTGTAATGGAGGATGTGCTTAGGGAAACTGTGGGCTGAAGACTGTCCCCCGCAGTCTGTGAAGGGTCACGGCTGGAATGTGTGTTGCCAGGTGCATGGGCTTGAAGAATGTGCCCCATTAATGCATTGTTAATATCTCGCCCAACTCCATGCACATCTGGGTTAAAACAGAACTGATGAGAGTCTATACAGAAGAAAAAGTAGATTTTCTGTTCATTTTCTTCACTAGCCTGGCCTTAACCACAGTATTACGTCCAGTTTTAGACACTGAATATGTATTTCATATTTTTGTCCTAAACTAATCCAGAAAAGACCAGCCAAAGCCTCAAGAGTTTTGGAAAATGGGATTTGTAGGGATATCTAGAGAATGAGGTGATTCAATACATATGAGAGGAAAATCAAAGAGCACTATGACAAGCAGTAGGATTTACCTAAACTGCATTCTTCGGATTAGGCATCTGGCAACTAAATTTTCTCTGATTTTTCAGTGGCAAGAGGTGGGTACTTTTACAAGATGACTCATCCTGCCTGTTTTAGGGTGAATTAAACTCTAAGTCTGGAATCCTTCTTTCTACCCACTGACAAGTCTGACAGGTGAGACAACTGGAAAGTGTTTTCTGTGTGTTTGGGATTTTTTGGGCAGGGCGAACATATGCTAAGAGTGGTATAGATGTTCTTCATACTTATTTTCATTGGTGGAAGTTGGATTCTTTTTCAACCTCCTTCAAATAAGAAAAACGTCTGCATTGAAGGTCATGCCACATACTTATATATAGTGACTATATAGTATTTATCAATACATATTAAAATAGCCATATTTCCATTGCTAATATTTGAGCAGTCAGATCTTGTGCCAGAGAAAAAGCACGGACACTACTTCAGTTTTAAGTGCTTTTCTCAGAATGTGGAGTAAAAACAATGTGACCCTTAGTATGCGAGAAATCTTTATAGAAAACAAGTGAGAAGTCTTATGATGCACAGACTTTTTTTCCTCTTTGCTTCTCTGTTTTGTGAGGAAACGTGCATTATTTGAGTCTTAGCTGTCAAGGTCTTCATCGGTGCTAACATTTCCTGTTTTGTCACTAGAACAAAAGTTATGACAAAGCAAGAGTGGAAAAACAAAACGGTTGTTACAGAGTTCATGCTCCTGGGATTTGGGAATGGCCCCAAACTGGATTGTCTTCTCTTCCTGATGTTTCTGTCAATCTACAGCGCGACCATAACTGGAAACATCTTCATCATTGTGCTGATGGTGGCCAATCGGCACCTTCACACCCCAATGTACTTCTTCCTGGGCAATTTGGCCTGCTTGGAAGTCTGCTACAGCTCAAATATCTTGCCGAGGATGCTGCTTAGCTATCTGGTTGGAGACAGACGTATT